AACCAGCCATGTTTTATGGTGTGTTTGGTTCTTTAATTGCTCTTAAAATTTATGTCACATTGAATGTTTAGATACTAATAAGGAGCATTAAATATAGATTAATTACAAAACCAATTACATAGATGGAGGCTAATTTGCGAGACGAATTTTTTAAGCCTAATTAATCCGTTATTAGCACATGTTTACTGTAGCGCCACGTTGTCAAATCATGGACTAATTAGGCTTAAAAGATTCGTCTCACAAATTAGTCGCAAGTTGTGCAATTAGATTCGTAATTAGTCTATATTTAATACTCCATGCATGTGTCCAAACATTCGATGTGACAGAAATTTTAGAAACTCCTGTAAAAACTAAACAGGCCCTTAATCGTTTGGCACGGCTGCTGCCACCGACGCCCGTCCAGTAGCTAGACAAAGAGCCACCGCGTGCTGTTCCTGTTCCTCTCGTCTCCCCCATCTCCATTTCTCAGTTCCCTCTCTAGGGTTTCTCTCTCTTTCTCCGTAGCAGGGACATTTAACCTTTTGGCACTCTTTCGTTTACCATTTTATACGGACACCGACACATTTGCCATCGCAAACAGTAATACTCCTTTTTTTTGTCATTTTTGCTGGTGTGGCATGCCACGCAGTCAGCCAGCGTGGCAGCGCCTCTCCTCCCGCCGCTGCTTCTCTCTCCCTCCACTCGCTGATCTTAAACCTCTGGCCACCGGAGAAGGCTACAAGCGCGGGGATGGGTCACCCCCACAGCGGAGCTTTCCCAGGCCTCTTGCGATGCTGCGCCAGGGACTAGGCCAACTGGCCGGCAGGCCCTTCGGCCCTCCACTGCCCCTTTCCCTACCGGCTGCCAGCTGCCTCTTGGCTCCTACGTTCCTACCTCTCGGGCTCGGCTGCTCTCACACCGAATCCTATTCCTTCCCCATCCTCCCGGCGACCGGTGGGTGGGACCAACAGGAGTCGCCGTCATTGCCGTGGTTGGAACATGCTGGGGTATCTGGCTGCGGTAGCGAGTTCTTCCTCTCAATGCCACTACCGCTCCTGCTTCTGCTGCCGGCGGTATACTGGTTGTGTCCATCCCTTTCCTCGACATGGGCTCTGGTGAGTTGCACAGACCTAGATGCAATTTGTATATTAGTGCTCTGTCAGCCTCGATGCAATTTGATGATTTCAATTGGAGCACACAGATGTCAACATAGATGTTGTGGATGGCTATTGAACTTCTCAATTATTCTCCGATTGGTTGCTTTGCTGAAATATACAGCTACTGTTGTCATTAGTTATGAAATTGGGCTCACAGTAGTACTAGCTTGTACTCGACATACTAGTCAATTAGAAAAGTATATATATGCAAATATTGTGACTGGATTCATATAGGGAGTTCAAATAATACAATTGGGATGCAACTGGAATTAATGAATCTTGCAAATTTAAATGCAACTGGACTATTTTCAGTAGTAATTTCAGCTCATTCAGGAATGGAAGTTCAATTAAAAAGGCTCAATTTTTTTCTCCAATTTTATGGAGTATTGCTTTTGTCTCAAAATTTATGTTTATGTACTACTATGTACAGAGTATCAAGCATGTTAGCCTATAAACTATTGCTGGACTTGTTTGTGGGGTATTGCAATCCTTTGGACTTATTGTAAACCAGTCAAGCGCCATTCAAAGTTTGGCCATGAGCTGCAGCTAGCAGGTAGCAGCTTCTTATTTTATTGTCGCCATTTCAAGTGCCTACTGCATCAAACCATATCTAAATAGGAGGATGATCATCTTTGTGCATATGTCAAGTATCTTAACCTGTTAATTTAAATAACACGCAACTTGATATCTATAGTAATGAGTTTTTTAGATCAGAGTTTGGGACTGTATTGATGTGTGTTAATTTGTCTCATCATGAGCAGCCATGTGACTCCTGTCTTTTTTTTCCTAGTTTCCTGTTAGTGGAGTTCTTTTATTTGTTATCTAACTTTTGTAGGATGTGTTCAATTTTAACGTCCAAATTGATCCTTGTCATATGTTATCAAAGGTGCCATGAATTCAGGATAACCTTTCACCGACATGATTACACATGGTTTGAGTCCTGCTAGTGTATTTGGAAATATGGAGCCTCCTAATCAAATACTTAGGGTTTTCCTTACATAAGACAATATTGTGGGCTTGTGGTTATTTATTTAGAAAGATGGATCATGCGACAAACATATATGCTGTACTGGGCAAAGCAGATATGCACTTAGGTGCCTCTGCTGTGTATATGTCAGGGTTATCGGAACTGCTTGCTGCAGCAGCACAGCAAGCCTGCCTACATTTACCTACATTTATGTATTCAGGGAAAGGGTTATCAAATAGGGCTCTTGAAAAAAAGAAGAGGGCATAAACAACATGTGGGAGAAGATGGCAACCAAATTCGGAAGGTGGCCTCAGAGGTGTGTGGAGTAACCAAAAGAAGTGGAGGCGATGCTAAAGATACTTGGTGGTGGAACGAGGAAGTCCAAAGGGCTATTAAGGAGAAGAAAGAATGCTATAGGCGCTTGTACCATGACAGGAGTGTGGACAACATAGAGAAGTACAAGGTGGCAAAGAAGACTGCAAAGCGAGCTGTAAGTGTGGCAAAGGGTAGAGCGTATGAGGATCTTTACCAACATTTGGGTACGAAGGAAGAAGAGAATGACATTTATAGGATGGCTAGGGTTCGTAAGAGAAAGACAAGGGACTTCAACCAAGTTAAGTGCATTAAGGATGAAAGTGAGCATCTCTTGGTGAAGGAGGATGAGATCCGACATCGATGGTAAGAGTATTTTGACAAATTGTTCAATGGTGAGAATATGGACACAACCTTTTAGTTGGATGACTCTTTTGATGATACCAATAGGCGCTTTGTGCGGAGAATCCAAGAATCTGAAGTCAGAGAGACGTTGAAAAGGATGAAAGAAGGTAAGGCGATGTGACCGGATGATATCCCAATCGAGGTGTGGAGATGTCTTGGGGACATAGCTATAGTATGGCTAACCAAGCTGTTCAACCATTTTTTCGATCGAACAAGATGGCTAACGAGTGGAAGAGAAGTATATTGGTACCGATCTACAAGAATAAAGGAGATATTCAAAGTTATACTAATTACTGGGGAATTAAGTTGATGAGCCATACTATGAAGCTATGGGAGAGAGTTATCGAGCATCGCTTGAGAGCAATAACGCGGATCTTTATGAACCAATTTGGTTTCATGCCCGGAAGGTCAACCATGGAAGCCATTTTCTTAATAAGACAAGTTATGGAGCGGTATAAGGAGAAGAAGAATGACCTACACATGGTTTTTATTGACTTGGAGAAGGCTTATGATAAAATATCAATGAATGTTATGTGGTGGGCTTTGGACAGACATAAAGTCCCAACGAAGTACATCGGGCTCATTAAGGACATGTACAACAATGTTGTGACTAGTGTTCGAACAAGTGATGGAGACACGGATGACTTCCCGATTAGGATAGGACTACATCAAGGGTCAGCTTTGAGCCCTTATCTGTTTGCCTTAGTGATGGATGAGGTCACAAGGGACATACAAGGGGACATCCCTTGATATATGCTTTTCGCAGACGATGTAGTGCTAGTTGATGAAAGTCGGACAGGAGTAAATCAGAAACTGGAGTTATGGTGGGAGACTTTGGAGTCCAAAGGTTTTAGACTCAGTAGAACTAAACCGAGTATATGAGATGTGACTTCGGTACTACTACTCGAGAGGAGGAAGATATTAGTTTGGAAGGTCAAGTAGTGTCTAGGAAGGATACCTTTCGATATTTAGGATCAATGCTATAGAGAGACGGGGATATTGATGAAGATGTTAGCCATAGAATCAAAGCAGGGTGGATGAAGTGGCGCCAAGCATCTGGTGTCCTATGTGACAAAAGGGTACCACAGAAGCTAAAAGGCAAGTTCTATAGGACGGCGATTAGACCTGCTATGTTGTATGGTGCAGAATATTGGCCTACGAAAAGACGACATGTTCAACAGATAAGTGTCGCGGAAATGCGTATGTTGCGTTGGATTTGCGGACATACAAGAAGGGATCGAGTTTGGAACGATGATATACGTGATAGATTAGGGGTAGCACCAATTGAAGAAAAGCTTGTCCAACACCAGTTGAGATGGTTTGGACATGTCTAACGGAGACCTCCAGAGGCACCGGTGCGTGGTAGAATCCTAAGCCAGGACAGTAACGTGAAGAGAGGCAGAGGAAGACCAAAGTTGACTTGAGTAGATACAATAAAAGGAGACTTGAAATGATGGAATATACCCAAAGACTTAGCCTTACATAGGAGTGCTTGGAAAACAGCTATTCATGTGCCTGAACCTTGATTGCTTCTGCTGGGTTTCAACTCTAGCCTACCCCAACTTATTTGGGACTTAAAGGCTTTGTTGTTGTTGTTGTACCATTCTTTGTAGTAGAAAATAAGCAGCAGCAACTACTGTAGCTGTTTCAAAAGCATAGCTGAGTAGGTCCTATGAGTTGAACAAATCGACCTGATCCAATCTCGATGCATTGTAAAATCTTCTTTTTTGGTACTCATCATTTTCTACTTGAACACATATTTTGTTTTATTATTCTCTTGACCCGCAACAACTTTCTTAGGACTAAAAGGCTTTATTGTTGTTTGGTCTCTATAGGTGTATGCTTGGGGGAGAGGAGAGCACGGGAGGCTTGGATTTTAGAGATGATAAGAGTAGTTGCATGGTGCCCCTAAAGGTTGAGCTCCTAAAGGTTGAGCTTCTAGCTAGATTTTGGAGACCTTGGGTTCCGTTGCATTAACCTTTCCTCTGCGCTCATCATGAGTGAGTCATCTATATTATTGTACTTTTTTGTTACACGCCATCAATGAGTCATCTGGGGCTGTGGGTTGCAAATGAACACATACACTATACTTGCTTTTTCAGAAAAAAATAAATTGCCTATTTAAGAAGATATTGTTGCCTAATGAATGACACTTAAATTGCCTAAGAAAATGCAATCCACTACAGCATTGCCATATTTGCTTCATGTGAGTTTTTGATTTCTATGTATACATGGAAATACTGGATGTTGTACATTATTGAGCTAGTTGCCCCTGTTGTATTGTCATATTGTAGGCATTTAACTGTAATGTTTTTGCTTCCTGCTATATACAAATGTCATGATAACAACTCTTTTTTTGTGCATGCATTTACAGGAATAGTTCTTCATACAATGCCTAGAGGGCAGAGGTTTCAAGGAGTGTGTGCACCGGCATCCAATGGCGGCAACAAGGTATGATCACACACACGCAAAAGAAAAACACAACCATTTTCTTAGGTAATTTAAGTGTCATTTGTTAGGCAATTTAAGTGTCATTTTTAGGCAACAATGTGCTCCTCAATAGGCAATTTAGTCTTTCCGTTGCAAATCTAGAGCCAATGATTTTGACCACCATCCTCGCCTTGCAGTTTGTATATAGCATTTTCTCCCTCTTTCTTTTCTTACATTCGTCAAACTTCTTCCTGTTCTCCCCTTGCTCATCCTCTTCCTCTTGTGTGCTATCCTCCTCGGCTTCATCATTGTCAGAGTAGCAAGTGACAACATCAACAAGCTGAGCAACTCTTCTTTTCCAGCCAAAGCCTTCCTTATTGCACACAAACTGCACCTTCTGCATTTCTCTTGTGATTGCAGACCGGCGTGACGTGTTTGTTCTAATCGAAACGCTGGTTTTCTTTGCATATAAGTTTTAGTACTCCTTTGCTTCTTCCAAGGATGCAAAAGACATCCCATTGTGTGGCATTTGAGGAGTAGACCACACCTCTTCTTCCTCTTCTGCTACTTCATTTCTAGCAACTACAGGATTAGCCGTAGAAAAACTTCATTCCTCTCCTCTAACCTTGCTTGTTCAAATGACAGTCTAATCTTAGAGACAGTAGGAACCTCTTCTGAAATCTGCTGGTTCACATGCTCTTCATCAGGCTGAGGAATTTCAGCAAATGTAGACACTTGAATGCAAAAAGTAGGATTTCCGGTCACATAATCCACATCAAATGCATCTAAGAAATCTTCATCGAAATCTAGCGGTAGCTTGTTAAGATTCATATTACACCTGCATGCAAAACATTATGTATAAGTGTGTGTTACTATATTATGACAACAGACAACTTAGTCAAACCAGTTAGGCAATAATACTATACTAAATTAGGCAAAAAAGGCCACCAACTTATGTAGTTTTGTTCAGTACATGCTATCAGTTTTGTCCAGTATATGCTATCAATTTTGTTCAGTACATGAAATTTCATAATACCTCATCAGTTTTGTTCAGTACATGCTATCAGTTTTGTTCAGTACATGAAATTTCATAATACCTCTGGCTATCAGTTTTCCACATTTACACTGTGGACACATGAGACTGAAGACTGACTTGCACTTTTATAACCCCCTAACACTGTACCTAAATGTTACAGCCTATAAAATGGACACACGAGAGTTTTGGAAACTTGAGACTGTCCATGGTACAAAATATATTTTATTCCATGGTTGGTTTTTCAGCTTAATGAATCTACTGTTCTTGTGTTTCCCACTTGTTGGAGAAAGTTGAAATTTGAGGCTTGGTCATCCTCAACTACTCAGTTGATTTAAACATTTTCCTTAGTTCTTAGGATCATCTATGTGCTTATCCTGTACTTCTATTTAATTGCAGGTGTGAGGCCATCAAGCATCAAAATGAACATGTTATCATATCTATAGGAGTAACCATGTGCAGCAGCTAACACAAAAAGATTTAATGCAGCAAAATCTATATCTATAGGAGTGGTGCATACAACATATATCCTAGTTAACTAGTAAGAACAACATCTGGTAGCAAGATGTGCAGTGACAACATTAGTCATTAACATGTTCAAGTTAGGATCATATCTGCTTATGCAGTAGGAACTGTAGTACTATTTGTGATGCAAGAGAACTGAATTGTTTGTGTAAAACAACTGAATTGCTTATGTAAAAGAACTAAATTGCTTATCAGTTAGGATCAGATCTGCTTATGTTCGTGCGCGCGCATGGCTGCTGCTTTCCCCATGCCCAGAACAAGAAAGTGTATTTTATTGGTTTCCATAATTGGAGTGTGCGAGCAGCCTGCTTAAAGCATGCACGGCCATGCATTAGCCGTCTCCGAAATTAAATTCAAAAAAGTATTCTGGTCATTCAAAAAAACTAAACTTTTGGTATACTAGAGCAAGGGTACAGCGGGCGAGTGGGGTAGAGGACGATGGAGAAAATACGTCGAAGGAAATATGTCGAAGGAAGAGGCGTCGTGAGCGAATTTAACTGTAGAAAGAGTTGGGAGGTATGGGGATCCTAGATCTTTTTTTCAAAAATTGCTAGCAGGATTATGCCAGACAAATATATTGATAGAGAAGAGGAAACAATTAAAGTACAAGTGAAAAGTCTAAAATAACAAACCAATAGGCCCAAATGAGGGATTTAGGCCCTCAAGACAAAAGAGGTCAATGGCCTAATCCATAGGCAAAATTTCTCATAATCGCTTGGCTCCCGCACTACACCATAGTCAAGCCTCTTCCTTGATCTTTGCAATTAACATTATCGGCAATTTATATTGATGCTCGAAAAATCCTTGCATTTCGCTCTCTCCAAAGCTCCCATGTGACAAGAAGCGTCATCGATCTTACTGCTTTACATGGAGAAGCTATTGACGTCCCAACCGGACACCACCACTGGACCACATAGTCCATGTTGTTCCATCCTTCACAGCTAGGAAATTTTCCTTTGTGTCCAAGATGGTACTGCTTCCCATATTTGCTTTGAATATCTGCGATGGGCAAAAAGATGGATGGCCGATTCATTTGTGGGCATGCATAGAGGACAATATTGTTGGTTGGGGCAACCACGAGCAGCCAACCGATCAGCTGTCCAAAGTCGGTTTTGTATCGCTAGCCATGCAAAATAAACTTGCAAGTTGGAGGTGCCCAAGTTTTCCAAATTAACTTGTCAAAATCTGTGTTTACTACACCTATGAATTGTGCCAGGTATGCTGAGCGAGCTGTGTATTCCTCAGATGCAGTGAGCTTCCATGTAATTTGATCCTGAATTTCTGGATTTAGTTCCACTTCCTGTAGTCCTTGCCAAAGGCGAGTAAATTGGATGAAGTGTTGTACGGTATCAAGTCACAAGAGATTAATGTCCCTCACTCAATTGTTTTCATTTAAAGCTTATTGCACAGTTCTGTTCTTTCTGTTACTGATTTGAAAAATCAAGGGGGCCACGTCCTTTGGACATTCTCCATTCCACCAGGCTATGTTTTTGCTCCATTGCCTATTGTGATCTTTGTGGCAGCATTGAAGAGGCGACAATCTGACTTTATACAGGGTACCTCCATCCCAAACCATGGCTTGTTGTCAAAAGTCCAAGCTAGCCACAACCATCTGATTCTGAGTGCTCTAGAGAAACCTTGAAGGTCAAGAATTCCCAGCCCACCTGAAGGGGACTGTGACGCCTAAGAGGGGAGGGGGGAGAGGGTGAATTAGGCAACTTAAAATTCTACTTCTAAACTATGGCCTCTTTTTCTATCCTTAGCTAAACCAATACAAAAGGTAAACTATCTAAATGTGCAACTACGGTTTTACCAGTGTGTTGTTATCTCTACCGTAAAATGAGTAATACAAACAATGTAAATGTGGAAGCTCAAGAGCAAGGTAGAGATATGCAAACTCCCGTCGACGACTCTGGTTTTTTTACCGAGATATCGAGAAGCGCTTAAGCTTCCCCCTAGTCCTCATTGGAGCCCCTCATAAGGAATCCCTCGCAAGGGCCACGGATTCGGCGGCCCCAGTGCTGGATCTACGAAGCCCGTAGCGGCAGCGGCGGGGAGTTCGTCTCCGGAGCTGCAGAGGGCTGTGGCACCGCGTTCAGGCCACGGCGACAGTCCGGGCGGCGGCAGGATGGGTGGCCCCTTCCACGGTGGCCGGATTCGGTAGTTCTGGGGCTAGATCCGCAGGTTGGATGGCGAGCGCTAGGGGCGGCCCCGAGCAGTAGTTCCGGCGTGCGGGCGGCGCGATGGTGCAGCGGCGGCGGCTGTGGTGGTGGATGGCGGCTGCAACGGCGCAGTGGTGCGGTGGTGGTGGAAGACGGGTGGCCCAGATATATAGCACTGCGAGCTGTTAGGTGCAGTGTGTGAGGAGGCGGCGGTGATGTGGCAGTTCGTCGGCTACATCATGGTGGCGTGGCTGGCCCAGGCTTGGCTGGGTGTGCTCCAGCGGCGCCATGGTGGCGCTGCTTGGCGACGGCCTGGTGATGGCACGCCCGTGGTGCCATGGTAGCGTAGCTTGCGGTGCCAGGTTGGGGTGGAGGCCGTAGATCCGCCACCTCCGATGCTAGATCTAGCGGTCCCCGGGCGGGATTGGCTCTGGTGGAGCTCATGAGCGGCGCGGAGTGGCTGGGGCTGTGTTCGCAAGCGCGAAGGCTCACGGACGGCGAGTGATGCATGGAGGCAGCGAGAACGGCGAGGAGGCGGAAGCAACGCAGGGATGCGAGCAGGTGGTGGCCAAGGCATGGATTCGAGGTGCATGAGTCAACTACGGTGGAAGGCGGCTGAGGACATTCGCATGGTGATTCAGGGCTTGACTTCTACGTGGTTGTTGTTGGGCAACAGTTTCGACCGTGTGCCGTGAGTGCCGGTGAAGTTAGCGAGGAGGACGGCGTGGGAATTTGGGCCAGTAGGAGTGCAATGTCTGATGATTTATGTGGTGTCTGATGGCAGCTTGAGACCCTGCTTGACTTTTCTACTATCTTAACGAAGCGGCTTGGTTGCTAAAGGTGGCGAACTGCTTGGCGACGACAAGAGGCAGTTGTTCGTGCTTTCGGCTTGGCAGCTTGCAGTGGACTGCAGTGGCTAGCCTTGCACGGCAAGGGTTAGTCTGGTTTGGGACAACGTCGACAGGCGGCGCAAGCGGAGGCGATGGCAGGATGGCTACATGGCTTGCAGTAGATCATGGCGGTTAGCCCTGCATGGCAGTGGTTGATTCGGTGTGGTACACCATTGGTAAACGACGACGCAGGCGGTGATGATGGTGTATCATCATGTCTCTTTGTCGCCCTTTTGTGCGGCCAGTTGTGGTTTTTAGTGGTGTTGCTCGGAGCGTGTTGAGATCTCGATCCAACCGGCCATTGTCGATAGTTGAGCTAGTTGTTTACTGTTGTTTTTTAGGTTTCGTTGCTTCCAGTCGTTGTTGTTGTAGCTCTGTTGTTTTGCCTGGTCTGGGTACTCCTTTTTAATATAGTTGGCAGCTCTCCTGCCTGATTCATTTAAAAAAAAAGAAATTACGAAATGATCTTTGATTTCAGGTAGTTGCACGGATGGGAGAGAAAAAGCTGATACTGAAGATAGCTGGAACACAAGGAAACAATTGGTGCTGCTCAAGCTGGAAACGCAAATTGAGGTCGAGGGTCTGGTGACGAGTTTGGAGAGAAAAGCAAATCAAGCTCCAAGATTATGCTGGGAAATGGCCAGGAAAGCAATACAAATATCAGGTGGGATACAATTGGCGCTCAACCTTGGGAGTTGAGAGGAGGATTACAAAACTGCAAATTCACATCAGAATGAAGAGTTGTTGCCTTAGCCGAGTGTGGTGTCAGATACTTGTAATAATCTGTTAGTTGGCAATCTCTCTGTGGAGTCTAGAGACAAGAGCTAAAATGGCAGGCATGCCTAGAATACGCCCTCCGAATGTCTATTTTCTAAAAAAAATATATGTTGATGATGAGGAGGAACATCTCCTGTTGACTCGAGCTGAATGGAGAACCAAGGAAGCAAAGGCTAATGGACGCACTAGAAAGTTCTACAAGAAGAAGGTGAAGTGTTTTAAATGCAAGAAATTTTTTTACAACAAAATGCAAGAACTTTGGTCATTACTCTTATGATTGTCCCTTGGAGAAGAAAGAAGGGAAGGCATATATTGCAGAGAAGCAAGAAGAAGAAGATGATGATGAGCCGGCTTTACTTATGGCCGAGGCTTGCTTGCTTTGACATCAGTTTCATGCAAACTCAACTTCAGGCATTGAGAAGATGTGTACACTGTCCTAAGTTCAGTTTGTTTAAATTTGGGTGTTGATTAGTGGAGTTCTCCATCCAAGGAACTCCATGATGTCAATTAGTTGAGTTCTCCATCCTAAGAGTGAATATGTCTAGGATATCGATAAGCTGAGTTTTCCATCCTAAGATTGGAGGTTCAAAACGTCTTTTAGTTGTGTTCTCTGTCTCGAGAAATTCAGGGTTTTTAATTAGTTGTGTTCTCCAT